AGATTCGTCTTGGGTTTGAAATGTGGTTTGCTACGAGATCTTCAAAATGATTTTACAAAATCACTTGATGGTGGCTTACGGAGAATGCAGTCTTTTACCCTGTTTTAAGGAACTTTACTGAGGCAAATTTATATGTCAAAGTAATTGGCCAAGTAGATTTCTGCTTCATTTGAGCGCTTTTTTTAGAAGGAAAATTCACCGGACAATAATACACCAACGAGAAGTCCGGTTGAGGGGAATATCGTTTCAAGCGTGGAAAAGAGGACACCTGGTATATTGAAAAAAAGTTCACCTGCAGTGTCTTCTAGGTTAGGGAGTGAGACTTCTTCACAAAAAGTTTGTTTTCAATTGCAAAATTTTTCTTATATTCTTTAATCTTTTTTGAAACCGATTTAGTTTAGTGTCTTGAATATTTGAAAATTAGTGTGATTTGTAATGCGAACAAAATTACCGTAGCGGGATAGATCCTTGGATTTGAGCGGGAAGTTGCAAACACTGTCGCATAACTTTACAACAGCAGTAATTTCTCAAGGAAGGATGGGGAGTTTAATGTCTAAGGAAAAATTTCTGATGTCCTAAATTGGATAACTTTATATAATTATTTGGAAAAGGATCTTTTATGGTATTATATGACTATTCATTGATGCATTGATGTTTTTTGTAAAAAAAACTGTTTGATTTCAAGGGAGGTCGGAGTGAATTTTATTTATATATATTTTTTTCTGACTGATCATTTTTTAATTAATATTTTGGTTATGAAGTCTCGTTGCAGTCGAAACGCGTACATTTTGACGCAACTCAGGCAGATCATTCTAGTAGTGCACGCTTAAACAAGTCTAAACGTCAATCTACTTCTCCTATTGGCTCAGGAAGAAGGAGATCTCATTATGCTGCATTGTTTCATAATCCTGATGTGCGGTTACCTCTTTTGAACACTCCACTTTTCACTTCATTGTCTCCTATACCTAATGCTTCTTGAAGGAACTTATGAGAAGCAGAGCACTTGTCCCCTGTGGCACGACCTCTTGTCTTTCTTTGAAATTAATAGGACTTTATTGCTCTTGCCAATACGTTTACAGGAAAAGTCAGAAAAAGTTGATCCTCCTCTAAAACTTCTAGAAGAAGCGCGACAAGAGGAACAAGTAAAGAATGACGAGAAACCTTTGGTTGTGGAATTGGTTACTTCAAAGGAATCGCTCACTCCAAGGATATTAACAAAGTTGGCCCCTTATGGGTAAGGGCTGTCGCAGCTCACTTAAAAATATCGTGCATTTTTTCTGAGTTGATATTCTACATATTTTAGGGTGCAGTCACTTCGAGCAGCGTTTAAGTCTCGGGGGATTAAAACAGTTGGAGATTTAGCTAATTTAAAGATATCTGAACTTTCTGAGTTACCTATTAAGGGTCCGAAAGCTGAGGTTGTTCGGGACGTTTTGTGTGAAGGGTGTAAAGTCCTTTCTTCATTAAAGGTACTTTGAAATTTTGCCCTAAACATGAATTTAGGTGTTTCAAAAAATTAGCATGTTGCATTTCCTTAGTTTTAACTTCAACAAATTTTTTTAAGAAGCGGAATGAGGGACCATTTTGGAAGCGCTTGCTTGTTGAGGAGAATATTGCGAAGGAGGTTTGTGGCGCCAGTTGCAAAGCTGACATAGGGGATCAAGGTCGAACGCATGATTCAGTAAGTGCTGAGCAGCTGAAAAAAGACGTTTCTCAAAAAAGTGGGGGTGAAACTTCTGAAGCTGTACAGTTGTCTGAAGGTGCTAAGTCTCTTGAGGTTACGCAACCTGTTCATTCTGTAACAGACAACATGCAGATTTTGTCTGGTGCTAGTTTATCTTTGGTGGAGAAAAATAACGTAGGAGAATGCGTGGCATCTAGGATGCAGGATGGAATTTCCCTCCTGGGAAGTTCCTCTAAAGAAGTTGAGGACTGGAAAAAGACGAATCTTCCAGAGGCATTTGTTTTGGACACCACTGAACGGCGTGCAATGACTAATGTGGAGAAGAGCGAAGTCAAAGAAGAGCTAGGTTCTGCTTGCGTTGCGCCAAATGGCGATGAGAGCTGGAAAAAACAATCAGGTTTTTGCCAGCAGTTTTTTGATGCTTTCATCTTGTCCAACTCGTAAATAGTTTTTTTAGTTTTAAAACTGGCCGCTTTTAACGCTTTTGTGGCATTGTTCAGCTGTGCCTGTTAATTTCTTTTAAGTATTGGCTGTTACTTAGTTTTTCGTCAGGACAAATGCTGTTGGACAATTGAGGCAGTTTGGCCTAGTACTGTTTAATCATTATTTTAGGTCTCGATTTGTGTCTCCACACGAAAGATGTTCAGATCCAGTGCGATATGACTCGTTATGAAAAGCTTTTTTCAGGTCACCAATTTAACTCGAAAGATTAGTTTCTCACATGATCTTCAATTTATAATTCAAGCATTTAAGTAGAATATTTCCAGCTCCACTTCTCAAGGGACTTACTAACGCTTGCCTGATTCTGCAGAAGTATGACGGCGATGTCAAAATTGCCACCGAATCCGAAAGGACAGAAATACGCAGCACACTGTGTGAAATAATCCAGATTTGTACTAAGCATTTGTTCTAATATGAGGCTCTTAATCAGAGTCAATAAGCGTATCGATATTTAAATTGTATACTTGTGACACTATTTTCACTTCCAATTTTTTTCGTTTTTGGCCACATGCGAGTATAATTTGTATTTAGTTGTTGTCATCAATAAGTGTTGATTTCATTTGTAAGTTGCGACAAAATGTTCCTTTGCAATTGACTTGTCCTTGTATTTTTCATGACCTGCTCGCATTTCTGCCCTTTTCACTGCTTTTTTTATGGCTGGAAATACCTGGGTGATTTCAAGGTGTCAATCGTTTATGTAACTTATCTCTTCAAAAATCGGAGCAAGAAGTACGGAAACGGCGCAGCATCTTGGGCGTTTAAGCTTTGATACTTAGTTGTCGCATGTAGTGCGTAGCTCAGGCGCACTATTCGGATGTGGTTTTCCCTTGACTGTTCTGTTGCTGGGCCCATGTTTGTGCGCATAGGTTGGAAATTACTATGTGTCATTTCGCAGCTTTGGCAAGTTAAGATTTTCTTGATTTTACTCAGAGTGCACGGTAGGCGAAGTAGCTAATTGATTTTTTGATGATATGTAAAGATGGTATTTCTACTCTACCATGTTGCATTTTTGTTTCATTGCTAGATTTATAACTGCAGTGTTGTGGAGGATGAAACTAACTTTAAAAGAGGTGTAGTGAAGGGGGTTCAGGTCTTAAATCTTTCATCTGCTTCATTTAATGCCTTCGGTTGAAATACGGCTGTGTACAGACACTTGTAATAAAGAAGTATCACTCGGAGTTCCATGTTATTTAAAAAATATATACATGGCGCTGCAGAAAGTAGTTTTAATTTATCACAGGTCGCTTAGGTGGCGATTGCTAGGCTCAGCTGACTAGATGACGTGGGTGTTGTTAGCGTGTTTTTTCACAATGCGCAACAGTAGGAGCTTAGATGAAGGTCATCAGATCCCATAGGAAAGTGGCTACTGGCGGTTGGATAAAAGTTCTTATCAGAATCTTGGTGTAATTCTTTGAAGGTAAGTCACTGAGGTAGACAGGCGAGAAGTAACTGGAAGAGAAAATCAGGACGGGTTTTTTTAAAGGCACCCTCACTGATCAGATTAGTCCCGTATGGGGTAAGGGCAGTGGAGTACGTCGGCTGGCAAAAGACCAAGGGCTGGGATATGTTCTGAAAAAGGACTAATGGGTCCAGTTTCTGGGAAGAAGTTTAACCAGTCTTGCAGTCCTTTTTGGCTACTTGGCCGCATTGTCAGAGAGTGTTGTAGAGAGAAGCCTTGGGTTCCTTCAAAATGGCTCAGAATCATGATTATCTGCAATACGCTTCAATATAGTAAAGTAACGACACCATTTAAGATTCCTAACCAAGGCATTTTGAAAGACAGCATCAGTAAACTCAAGTAGAAGGGGAAACGGGGATGCTGTTCGTAAGCAAAACGGCAGAAACTTCTCTACCTGCCTGTGAAACGGAGGAATGGAATCAGCAATTCTGACTGCTGAGCGAGTTGAAATTACATTCGTTGATGCAGAGCAGTCACAGTAAACCTTAAACTAGAGTATTAGACTGCGTAACTTTTTTGAAATAATCTGTATGAGGAAATTAACCTGAAAGTATTGTCTCTGGCTGAGATTGTCATACATTAAAAGATGGCCATCGAAATTGTCTAAAACAGTCCTCGAAACAAAGTCAGGAGCAGACTAAAGGAAATGTAATTATTAATCTAACAGTATTCAGGTCAAAATTGTAGCAAATGACAAAACAACATACAGTCTGCACCAGGCCTTCTTTCAAAGCAACTTGAATGAGGGAGTCAGCTACAGCCATTGCTGGAAGCTGAATCTGTTCAGAAAGTAATGGTTTTGAGCTAAAATTAATAAGCATATCGCATGGAAGATAAGGGATAAAACGTACCGCATAACGCCCCATAGGAGATTTTCACGTGAAGTAATCATTATAATTTTTGCGTAGATGAAAAGCGCTAAAAAAGATACCTGTGAACTGCAATTACCAGACCAAGATTTCTTCCTTCATTAATATTTGAAAATGAAATCGGAATCAAGTAATATTCACTCGGGCCGCTCAAGAAAACATCGTCGGTAGCAACAAATGCTGTTATTTTACGAGGAGATCTGAAAATCAGTACCTGATTTGTTTTTAATATCTGGAAAGAAAATGATAAAAACTCAGCACTGGTATCAATAATTTTACGGCAATTGCCAACGAAGAAGTTTCAAGCATTTTTAAAAATGAAAAACCTGGTAACTAATTTTCCAACTCTATCTGATGGTCCTACTCTGTGCAGGAGAACCATTAAGTCTGCATCGGTTTCTTCTCTTCCATTTTTCTGATAGAGAGTAACAGTGACTTCTACCGATTCTTCTACATGAATACGAAATGCGCTACAAATGTAAGTATTAATTTAATATCCAATCCCATAGAGAATGAAGAAGGTACAAAGAATAAGGCCATTAAGAGGATTAAATGAACACAATGGTAAGAAAAAAAAGATCTTTTACGTGATTCCTTTGGTGCCCCATGACGCAACAAGTTTGAAGCCTGTCCGCAGCTCCTTCCACCCAGAAAACATCCTAACTTTTGCAACTTCAACCTTAAAGACGGCATTTAAAGAGTAAGTTGCCACATGACTATTTTGAACCCGTACTTCTACATTCTTCATGTCACACTTTCTAATCTGTCAGGTTAAAAAGCATTTAACCAAAATATAGGGTTACCGAGTCAAAATGCTGCAGGAACTTGTCATATGGCATCCAGAATGTCCCCGCTTCTGGATATTTAGGTAATAAAAAGTCACGGCTTTCCTGCGTCCAACCTGCCCAACCATCGCTCCACTCTTTATTCCATACAAAAGTACCCCATGGATTACGTAGACGGACCAATCTTCAGAGATTACTGGTCACTAGTTAAAACAAACAAATACTTTGTAAAACTTACCAGTCACTGTTTACATCTGCATTAAAACGTAAAACGAAACTGTAAGTTCCCTCATTCTTTACATTTTAAATCGTTAAAAAAATTACTGCACTCACTTCTCACCAGTTAATGCTAATAAACTTCCTATCTACTTTACTGATCGCAAGCCTCAATTAAAACTATTACTCCATTGCTACAATGCTTCAAGGGAAATTATACATTTTTGAAAGTTTTTTACGAAGTCTTCTGAAGCTCCACAAAAGGGTGATTAAACAATGGAAAATTAACAGATGAGGACTGAAAAAGTGAGTGGACAAAAGTCTTAAAAATAGATCCTTGTTCACAGCTTTGTTGTGGGATATATTAAATTTACCTACAGCCGCGATATTCAACCACGTTAAGTAAGGAATACGCGTGCCTTGGTTGTAACCCACAATCCAAGTAAGCTTTAGTATCGACATATCTCTTACCAGCGCCACAACTGCATCCCATTACAAAGCACGCCTCTCTGAAACAAAAAACAGTCCAGAGGCGATCGCGTTAAACGAACAACAAC